GTATGTGGGGAGAGTCCACAAGGACATTAAGAATAAGGCCACCGTTATCCCTGGTGACGCTACCCATGGATGTTCGGTTGGGGTGTCCATCTCCTTGCCCCCTATTACCAGATGGAAGAAAGGTATGAAGAAAAAGATTCACTCATAGAGATGATTGGTAGAGGCTTAGTCAATTGTACAGAATTATGGGAGCCGATAGTGAAGAGATTCTCTAATGTCACCTTAAATAAGATGCCAGTATTAATGAAGCCAATAGAAAAGATCGATATGGATCACTTAAGGGATAAGTTAAGTGCGTTGGGAGACGAAGGTGCAGCTTGGGAAGACGATGAGCAGATCGCGATAAGTTGGTCAATAGTGATGGGTACATTCCTAGTTATAGCCATCGGGGGTGTAATAATATGGAAGATTAAGAGTAAGAGAAGATTGGCGAACGACAGTCTAGTGAGCATGCAGCAACCCGAGAGGGAGATGCCGAGCAGTGTTCCTTACTCAGACAGGACTGGCGAAGAAATTGCTGAAAGACCAATGGAGGAGGCTGGCGTGAGACCACCACGTGCGGCGGAAAAACCTCCCACGGCAGTGAGGAAAACATTGACCAAGAAGAACAAACCCTAGTGAACACATCTGCACCTACAAACACACGCACACATTTCATTGCATGTAGAACAGAAGAAAATGAAAAGAACATTTCATTGCATGTAGAACAGAAGAAAATGAAAAGAACATTACATTGCATGTAGAACAGAAGAAAATGAAAAGAACATTTCATTGCATGTAGAACAGAAGAAAATGAAAAGAACATTTCATTGCATGTAGAACAGAAGAAAATGAAAAGAACATTACATTGCATGTAGAACAGAAGAAAATGAAAGGAACATTTCATTGCATGTAGAACAAAAGAAAATGAAAAGAACATTTCATTGCATGTAGAACAGAAGAAAATGAAAAGAACATTTCATTGCATGTAGAACAGAAGAAAATGAAAGGAACATTTCATTGCATGTAGAACAAAAAGAAAATGAAAAGAACATTTCATTGCATGTAGAACAAAAAGAAAATGGAAAGAACATTACCCTTGCATGTTAGAAAGTAGAATAGAATTGCATGAGACAAATGCATGGTGCATGTTAAATGATGTAATTGGGTTTAGGTGTCATTTACGGGTAAATGACAAATCGGTTAGGGGAGGATTGTGGCACCTTGCATTATTAGAAATATTCATAGAAATATGATTTAATTTTTTTTACTCGGTTTACTAAACAGGTTGTTGATTTTTTTTTAACGGAAAATAATTGAGTTGAAAATAATTCACTAAGATTGTACTTAGACGATCCTAAAAGAAAAGAAAAGAAAGAGGAAAAAAAAAAAAAAAAAAGAAAGAAAGAGAGTTGGATGATGCATGACCCAGTCATAAGCGAAGATAAGTGTCAGAAAGATATCTTGGCCTGCGTGTGGCCGAATTTTATAGGACAATAGAGAATTGTTATTTGAAATGAAAAATCATTAAGAGGGAGAAAAAGAACCAGGCTTGATGACAGTGTTTTGGCAATTGATAAGAAAATCGGTCAAAGCACCTAGCCTACTTTTGCGTGGAAAGACTCATTGTCAAATTGGAGAAAGGGAAATTCTTTTTAGAACAATAGAAACGAAATTTTTTTTTAATCGGAGAAAAAGTGTCTTTTGGGTTGAGGGGAGTGACCGGTGGGACTATATACAGATTCTGACCTATTAAGAATTGGAAACCCATGATAACAAAGTGGGGACATTTTCAATGTAGATAATTAAGATTTTCTGACTGTCGGGTCTGACAAAAAAACAAGAGGTGAAAAAAAACGATTGTCTCAGTTCACAGATAGCGCCAATATTCTTCCCTGAAGTCACATCTAATTAGCGGCAGGCTGTTTTGACAGAGCCCAGGTGAGAAAAAAGCCAAGATTGTCATTTTTTAGACGTGCAAAAAAAAGGCAAAATTAGATTTTGTTTTTTTAAAACAAGAACGATGTAAACCACGCCCAACCACAATCTCATTAGCCGAAAAGCGGTCACGTGATATGCGGAAAGAAGAGAAAGGATGCTCGATCAAGAACCATTGGTCGGAAACGGTCACGTGATCTGCGGAAAAGAAGAGAAAGAAGTGCTCGATCAGGAATCATTGGTCGAGAGCGGTCACCTGACATACGAGGGACGGGAAAGATGGGTGTGCACCTCCCCACCAAAAGGGCACTGTGAGGAAGTAGGGGTGAAAACAATAGCGATAATGGGAAATCAAAAATAATGCGACTTTTGGAGTTATCGAGAAAACCCTGACGCCAACAGACCCACCCCAGTTTGTTTGCAAGGCCAATAAAAGCAGGACCCCAGTCGACAGAAATCAGTTGGAGTGGAGTTGCAGCTGGACCGCTGGCAGGGAAAGAGCCTGAACGCGGGCATCGGGCCTGATTCACTCGCCCCTTTATGGGCAAAAGAATCCTCAGACAAGAAATCCTTCCAGCCCAAGTCGAAGACAGAAGAGTTCAGCCCCGGACGGCAGCGTAGAAGAGATCACCTCGACGACAGAGAGAGAGTTGAGGCAAGAAATCCTTCCAGCCCAAGTCGAAGACAAGAGAACTTCCAGTCCAAGCAGACGAAGAAGAAGATTACCGAAAGCCGCAGAGAAGTTGCAGCCAAGTCGAAGACAAGAGAAGTTGCAGCCAAGTCGAAGACAAGAGAAGTTCTATCTTAGTCGACGAAGAAGAAGAAATACAACTCAAGTCGAAGAGAAGAATCAACTGCGAATGATCGATAGAAATTAGCCCCAGTGTCGAACTAGACCACACTCCGACATACATAATTCTGAAGAGTAGACAACTCGAAATCTTTAAGTTGTATGATAGAGGCTTGGTGCCATAGTCCACAAAGCGGGTCGGGAAATAAGAACAATTTTTCTTTATGTAACGGACATTAGATATAAAAGGTTGTCACCCTTTTTTATCAGTAATTTTTTGTCTCGTGAGTTTTTTTTTTTCTTTTACTTGTGTTTTGCCACCCCCGTCGGACTCAACTTGTATCGCCCCAATCCCTGCTGGTCCCGTCTGTCTAAGATCTAAACACAGCGTGGGTAGACAGACCGGAGATCAGTACAGTTGCTTCAGTAACCAGGTATTGGAAGCGAGTTGGGAAAGGCGAGGCTGGTGATCATCCAACCAAGGGGTTGGAGCGGCACGCTTGGAACCAGGAGGAGCGACGTCACAGTTGGCGCCGTAACCAAGGGATTCGACCCTGGGCCAGGTGTGTAACCGTCACAGGATGACTGCTATTATGTAACGGTTCAGTATATTTTTCTTTATTTCTAATGAAATTTTCCTGTTTCTAAATAATTTGCATAGTTTTTGGAAGGTATCTTTTGCTATCCCAATGCACTTTCAGATTTCAGTATTGCACTTTCCAGATATTTAAATTGTAGTACTTGCTTGATTTTGATATCTCAATTTGTAATTTGCATGTTGGGTTGTCCCCTTTTGCTGATGGCCTTACATTCTGTCTTCTTGACCACTCTGAAAAGTGGCACAGTAACAAAAAGTTTTCACTGAACTATACAAGAACAGGCAAGATAAAATATGAATTAAGATATTAATCTTAGTTTTATTTCATTCTCTTATTTATATAAGAGAGTAAAAAGAGAGAGTTGAACTCAGATTGAAATTCAAAGACGTTTGTACATGTGAATGTGTTGTAATCTGGAGATATAAGTTTTGATTGATTGCATTTGCAAAAGTTTTCAATTTCAGTTAGGATTTTGTACAAAATGGAATGGTCCCCAAACTCATTCATATGAATATATTTATAATTTCAAATTGTTGGTAGTAAATATGGTTGTATGCTATTTTTTCCTGCATCATCAATCCCATGAATAGGTAATGCTTTAGGGTTGCTGTACAGCTGAGCTCATAACCTGTTCCCTCCATATATCTGAGTTAAAAGTTGAAGAAGTATTTATTCCTGCATAGCATGTCTTGAGAAAGTAGACTTGACAGAATCTATCTCACTCCAGGTCAAGCCACAACTGATTACCTTCAACTTGAAGGCTCACCTTAGTTACAGACACTGGCTGTTAATTTCAATAGAGGAATCCTCCTCTTTGGCCACTGACTTCACTTAAGAAGTTCTCCCACCAGCAATGCTATCATTACTGCACTGGTTGCATCCATAGCTATCGAGCCCAGCTTACCCCATGTACTAGATGTTTGTTGACCCTGCAAGACATGTCCAATGTGATTAGGAAAGAGGAGTTTATTTCTGGCAAGACCCAAGAAAACTGTGTGATTTGACTGAAGCACTTACCAATGTTGACCTGGATCCATTATGTGCATATCATGGGTATAGTAGATGTTCTGATAAGATTTTCAGGATCATCATAAATATTGTAATATAGTAACACTCATATCAGTGTACTGTTTGTATATGCTATTTCAGCATTATGATGTGTGACTAGCAATTCTAGCAGTTAGCCTTGAAACTATAAGGTAATTAAATAAGTCCTTGCCATTTTTATGTCCTATGGGAAGATGTGATCACTGATTTGCAAATGTGTATGTCATGTGCTGGGGGAGTGGGAGTATTGCTCTTGAACAATGCAGGTGCTTTGTGCACACAAATCAGTCATAGCTCGAGCAGTAGTGGAGGAAACATGGTGGTGTTGAAGCAGCTTGTTTGAGATTGTCTGCTTTATGACATTAAGGTGGGCTTGTCTACAGCCACATCAAGTCGCTGAATACGTCAAGCCTTTGGGGATAACGTTGTGAGTGAATGCACCACCAGTTACTGATTCCAGAAGTTCAGGTTGGGAGATCCGTCACTTTGTGAGGAACTCTACAGTGGCCAGCCACAGGTCCTGGATGATGAGACCCTAAATATTTGGGGAGAGAAAAGATGGATTCATACCTTTCCCAAGGGTATTTGCATATAAGTAAATGTACTGAACTTGGCTCTCTGACTTTTCATTTCAAGCCATTTCAAACTTACACCACCTGGTATTCCCAAGTGGTCACCCTTCTAGATACTGACCAGGGTCAATGTTGCTTAACTTCAGTCATCAGATGGGAACTATTGTTTCAACATGATATAGCTGTAAGCCCAGAGAATAAATAAGATACACTATTAAATAGTTATTTAGATTTGAAAATGTTAAAAAAAAAAAAAAAATTACCATCAGATTATTTTTGAGTTACTTTGGTTAAGACCAAGAAATTTTAACTCCAGTAGGAATATTTTGCAAGTAAAATTTCTTGTCTACCTTCCAAACTGCTATATTATGAAATTATTATCGAGAACTTTTACTTCTTGGGAAGAAATTTTTACCAACATATTATACATGACAGGTCCTTTAATAATTTCTGCTGTACTAAAAATAATGCATTTCAATTCTCCTGCCTTAGTCATGTACTCCACTTCTACAGGCTTATGGCTATATCACATTGAAACACTGGTTCTTGTATAATTACTGAAGTAAGCAACGTCGAGCTTGGTCAACACCTGGATGGGTGAATGCTTGGGAATACCAGGTACTGTAAGCGTGGACATTCAACGGATAACAGCTCCAGTCAGGTTAATTATATTTACTTTTGAATAGGAGTAGCAGTTTATCTCTTGATTCTGGTTTAGGATTGTGTTGAGTCTTTTTTAAAGCTTTTTTTCATTATCTTTTACTTCCAGTAGCATCTTGCATCTTAGTGGCATTATTGCCTTGCTTGGGGTGAATTGATAAAAAAAATGCACTAATATTCTTGGGAAAGGTATAAATCTACATCTTCCCTCCATCTATGGGCTAATTAGTATGAATTGTATCAGTAAATTATCATTATCTCTAAAAATTCTTACTATTAAAAAATATTTTCCAGCTTTAAATAACCTGGCTGATGAGCAGGGAAAAAAATCATCAATCCACTTCTACATAACATCATAAGATGGTAATATTGATACTTACTGCTGGTAAATGTAACCCAGACAATAACTCATGAATAACATTTAAAATTGGTGACATGCATCAAGAAATATTGGGCATATATTTAAGAACTTTGTGATACAAGTTCTGGTATTCTTTGGCAGTGATATGGATAGTGGTTTAAGGGAATTTGTCAATGAAAGCATTGAAGAAATTATCTTTGAGCAGCTGACAATGATGATGCTATATGAAAACATCCTGGTCCAAAGTAGTTAAATTAGAAGCATAGAAATTTCCTTATCTTATTCTAGAAAGCATATTGGTACATTTTGAAGTTTGAATCCTCTAAGGGTTTATAAACATTGATTTCATAGACTGGTCATTTTTGGTTTGAAATCTTTCTTCAGAGTGGTAGCAGGCACTTACAGCTGGTTTAGCCATTTGCTTAAGAGGGAAACTCCAAAAGAAAACCTACAACCACAAGATTTTACTATCAAAATTCCACCTAGCTGAGCCATAGCATATAAATCTCTGGTTGAAAGGGTGGTAAGGCACACAACACTCTCTGCCTTAAGATGTCACTAATGCAGGCCTAAGAGCCACTTCACTTGACTACTACATGGGAGTGCCTGGAACAATTGTGGAAAAATCCTCCTAAAGTTTTATTTATTAAAATGAGCAAATATGATATATTTTATATATACTTGTAAAATAATTTAAATTCTGTAAAAAGCATATTGGGAGATTTTTTTAAATGTATGATACAAATACTATTGCCTCCATCTTTGTTGTTGTCACAATGTTTCAGCTGTTGTGCACTCTGACCTACATCAGGTGTACATTAATCTGGGTGACCTACAGGGAATTTCAAACTGAACCCTTTATTTAATCTACAGTGGTAGACTCGTTCCACTATAGGGATATCTCATCTAGTTCTTATTCTTAGTATTGCTCAATCATTGGCCTGGCCCAGAGATTGAACTCACAATTACTATGTTAAATTCACAAACCAATGGTTTAATCGACTAGGCTATTGTTGTGGGACAATTATCTGTGGATACTGCTGATGCTAGAAAGAAAGAAAGAACAAATGACAGCAAATCTCAAACAGCAGCAGCAGCTGTACCAAAGAGTACAGTCAAACATGACAAACTGGAGTTTCTTTCTTCATTATGAGGTACTTGCTCTTCCATTCATTTGCACAAATTTTGATATAACCTGCGAGTTAAATTCTCCAAACCGTCTTTCCTCATTAGGTGTGATGAAATTTCATTTGTTTGTTTATTGACTGTTAGCAACAGTTTCTTTATAGTTCCCATTCTCTTTAAAATTTACTTATTTCTCATATGCTTTGTCGATGGTATTCTTAACATTTAACACATCTCTGCTGCCTAAAGTCCCTTTTTTTTTTTTAAATAAATGTTTGGCTTTTAGTGCCATGTATCAGAGTAGACATTACATAGTCAAGCATTCTTTATTTTTAGTGTTATTTTCTGATCCTTTTTTGTCATACTCAGTTTCTGAAAAACATTTCAGATTTCTGTGACACACTTTTCATTATTTGTTATTGTATATCATCCAAAGTCCCTGATATATAACTTACTTATGCACAAATAATGCCAAGATGCTGGTTATCGAATGATCACTGGAGTTCAGTATTGAGCCTAACCAGTACTTAGATAGGGGCCTACTTGTGAAAACAGGGCACAACACCAGTTCGGTCTGGGGCTAGCAACTTCATCTTGAGTTGTTGAGAGCTGTGGCCCTATACTTCTCAGTGGAATCAACAGAACTGGGGGAGTATACATAACTTACACTTATTTTAAAATTTTTATACTAAATGTTCATTTAGTGCAAGGCCCAAGGTAGAAGTTTACTGATTGAGGTTGTTGTATGGATGTAAAAGGAGGAAGTGTAGATTATGAGGATATGTAGGATAGATAACAATTGATGCAAGAATTGAAGAAGTTAAGATTGTAGTGAGCAGGGAAGTATCCTCTTGGGAGTCTTTTTCTATAAAGTAGCAGTTATTGGGAAAAATCTGTTCAAGTGGAACTTTCTCCTTACCAGTTGAATACAGAGGATGATTCAACCCCGTGTACATAAAAAGGCAGGTTCTAGTTATAAAGGAACAAAAGTAAGTTATATATCAGGGACATAAAAATCATGCAGCTGTGAACGGGTGGAACTAAGGTGTAGTTTCTCTGAACATTTGCCAAGGAAATAATGACAGACTAGTGTTAGACTTCCGACATTTCATCTGTGGGAAAGGGGGTGTAGGGTTGAAAATAATTCATCACCCATAAATGAAGCAAGAACCCATTTTTGGTCTGATTGGACTGTCCTTTTTAGTTTGATAATTCCTTCAATTTAATTTTATCGGACTTCATTTTTTTTTTTTAAAGAAATTTTCCTTTTTAACAATAAAGAATAAGTCCTTTTTACCAACAAGCAAGCATCCTATCTTGTTACTAGTTTTGTTTAACTACCTTGGTTAATAATTCTTTGATAAATAGTAAAACCAATCACTGTATTTTGTAAGTGATCAATTTCTAGAAATTCTAAAAGACAAGCTAAAATACCACGAAAAGGCAATCCTGTTGGTGATCCAAATTTTTGATAATTTTTATAAACTAGAATTTTTTTGCTATATGCTGATGTGTGTTGAAATCCTCACAGTATTTAGTATTGTTGAAGTTATTGCTAACATTTTGCTGAGATTTAAAACTCTACATTTGTTCAATTTCAAAAACCAATCAATGAAATTTAAATAAACTTATTTGCTTGGAAAAATACTTTGACAAAAACCCTACTTCACAGTTTGATAATTCCTTCAATTTAATTTTATAGGACTTCATTTTTTTTTTTTTTAAAGAAAATTTTCCTTTTTAACAATAAAAAATAAATTCTTAGGATTTCTTACTCTTGAGCATGCAACATACAACTAGCCATACATAAATATTCCTTTCTGGAGCCAAATTCCAATTTTTTTAAGTATACTCTGACACAACATATGACATCACCATAAATAACACAGGAAGTCATGCAAACAGTGAAGCATAAAAAAACAATTATTTTTTCAATTGAACAAGTTGTAAAATGCATTGAATGATATGTACAGTAGGACAGGTTGATTTTTCACTTAAAAAAAAAAAAAAAAAAAAAAAAAACATCAACATTACACTGTGTGAAGCTGGGTTTGATGTCATAAGTACTGACACAAAAAATTAGATTTATAACTTTTACCAATTTTTGAGCATTTAGTTAAGAAATTGTCTGATAAATGTACAGAAATACCTAATTTTTGCAGGTTTTTGCTTACAAACTGATTTCAAAATTTTACTATTTCAAGGATAAATTCAAATAAAGTTGATATCTTTTGTATTAGATATATTAAATGGAAAATATATTCAAACCAGAATCCTAATTATGAATCAAGCAAAATATGCAATTTTTTTTTTTTACTGTATTTGATAAGTAAAAACAGTGTTAAAAAAATTGTAAAAGATTTCAAAAAAGAATAAGATTTGTTAGATCATAATTAATAAAAAGAAAAAAGTAGATAAAAGTGTATATAACATCATAATATTGCTCGGTTCAAATGATAAGACAAAATGTTTTAAATTTGCATTGTTTATTGAAAAATCACACTAAAACTACTTCACTGTATAACATATTACATTATAATATAGCTAAATTGTTCAGTTTAATTTCACTTTGTGTAAATAAAAGTCTTATTTGATGACAATGATTTAGTAATATGTTTATACCATGCATCTTATCCACATACAATTTGTAAAGCTTTAGTAAATTATATAAATGTTATAAGACTGTGCTATAAAGCTTTTACTGATCACTGGAATGAAATTCCAATACAATGATTTTGAACCTAAACTTAATCTTTAAACTCATTTCCTCAAAAAAACAGTAACAATTTGGAAAAAAATATTTTGTATCATTATTTATCATGTTAAACCCCAACTTTCAAATTGAATGCAATATCATAGTTCCAAAATCGACCTGCCCTAATGCACAGTAGGTCATAACATTAATTTTTTTTTTTGTTATTTTTATAGACATGTTTGCGTCATGTTCAAGTTACTTCTGTAAAAATTTCAGAGGCTGTAAATAGAGACCCAAAAGAAGTCATTGGTAACCATCTATTTACAAAAATTTATCTCCGTTACA